CCAATAAGCTTATTCATGTAGCCTAACTCAAGACAGCTGTGGGAGGAATAGAGAAACCCTTTGCTGTTTAGGAACGGTAAGAAGGGAAGGGACGCTGAGAAGGATCTGTTGCAGAATCTCCAGTATGTTCTTCCTGTGTAGTATGGTAAAACATTAAAAGTTAACATGTTTTAATAAAAATGAAACTGCTGATCGAATCCATAGAGGTGAAACTAAAATGTGGATAATCTGAAAACCAGCAAGTGTGGTGTAGGTTTGGTTCTATAACTGTCACCAGTACTTTGGTGTTTATGCACACGCATGAAAATAGTGCATCTCCTTCAGTTAATTTACAGGAATATGGACAACTCAGGCTCAGTCATGATTTGTGGAGAAAACCTGTGCCTCTCAAGAGCCTCTTCCATTCAGCAGAGGGCAGTGATCTTGCATCCACACTGTCTCCTCCTCACAGACTTGTTTGGCCGCTTCGTCTCCGTGCAGATCATCAGGTGGTCACAGAAACTCAGCGTTATGGAGAATGGTAAATACCTTGCACAGCAGTGGCAGGTGAGATGTAGGGGGTTCTCTTCCCTCAGAAGATGCACATCTTTCGTCGTGTTGGACGGTTGTCCTGTGGGACAGATGATATCTGTGCCTTCACAAGCAGGGAAATGAAAGCTAAGAGCTGGTGACTTGCCAAAATGACCTAGAAGAGGAGCTGGAATCCATCCACTATTAATTATTTCATTATTATGAAATTAAGTACATCTTTAGTGTTTTTAAGACAATGCCAGTCTCCATTTGACATTTACTAAGTGCTTGAAGTGAGGATGCTTGCAGTGTGTTATTGTCAAGAGTGTGATGAGAAGGAGAAGCTACGGCAAGAGGTGATGCTATTTTCAAAGAACCTTCTGTGGTCCCATAGCCCACCCCCCAAAAAAAAAAGTCTGAAATGGCTCATTGGGATGTGGAATATTGTAACATCTATCTACTTTTACCCAACAAATGCGGTGTGTTGAGGCCATGGCTGAAAGATGCCATTGTAGTGCAGAATGAGTTTAGCAGCAAATGCACGTGTTTAAATAGTTAAATATCCACGGTTGGGGTTTATGGGAATCAGAATCTTTGAAGTACATAACCGGCCTGTGGCATCGGGGAGTTGGGAAGACATTTCCTAAGCTGTCAGATCGTTTTGTGGGTATACTTTTTCTTTGAACAACATTTTCTTGAATCTTTGAAGCTTCCATCATTGGGCAAAGGCAAGTACAGGATTTAGAGGGATCTCTAGGAATGACTCGTTTCTAATTTCATTTTAAAAAATGAAAGTTCAAACCTGTTTGACTTTATCATCATCCTTAAACTTGTGTACCTCCAAGAAGAAAACAATTAAAAACGGGTTCTAAATTCGTTTGTCTTGCAGTATTTGCTCACAGAACATGAGAAACCAACCCAAACCACCACATTTGGGGCTTTGGCTGGGTACATCTGATATTCCCAGGTTTGTGTATTAGTATTTACTTCAGTGTTTATTGCCCATGCTTTGATGAAACATCAGGAAAGCTGGTTGTGTGAACACTGCCAGAGGTCAGCTTGCCTTCATCTCAGATGTTTACATAAGCTGGTTAAAGATTTGAGGTTAACCTCCGCTGATGTATTTAGGAGCTGTAAAGCCATAAGTTTTTGGTTTTGGTTTCTATGCTGGCTCCAAAATTTGCAGAGAACTAAACCAAAAGGTTCTTTATGTTCAAGAGCTGTGAAAAAGCTTATTAACACATGGCATTAATAGAAAAAAAAATCCTTCCCCTGAACTGAAGAGCTTTTTTTCCCCTCATAGCTTTTGGATGAATTACTCCTTAACTCATTAGATTCAAAGGCACAACAAGTTTATATACACTTAAAGCAGGAATGTTCCTTTATTTTCTACCTTTTTCATCAGTCTTTGGACGTTACCAATCAAGACCTAGAGCTAGACCTAGTTTAGAGATTCTCTAAACTCTTCATATTCATCTTTCTTCCCAATTTTGTGGAAGTTGCTCTGTAGGTTTCCTACCTCTTTTGCGATGCCCAGGCTGCGATGGGCTGCCTGTCCCATCAGGGTACAGATGTGCTTTGCTCCCATTTTGGCCCCAAAGATCAGTCCCAAACTGCCTCCTCTCGGGGAGATCCTGAATGTGGCGCAGTGGAAGTTATCTGTGCTGGAAGCCCAGGCTGATTTAGCATAGTAATTAGTGTTCTTCAGGAGGCTCGCAACGAGGACCGAATGAGCAGGAAATTCGGAGAGGTGTAATACGGTGTGTGACGAGGCTGGGGGGGAGGAAATGAAATGAAAATGGGTCAGGAGTGGGAGGCCTGGACGGAAGCAATTCCCCGTGGTGCCAGGATCCATTTAAGATTCAAAGCAGCAGCACATTACAAGGAGGGAGTAAGAAAGGCTGGTTTCGTTGTCCGAACTAAGCAAACTGGCCTTTCCACTAGGCTCCTGGCAGAGCCTACAGCACCTGCAGCACAGGAGCATTTGATATGTATTGCCTCCCTAGCTGGAATGCTTTTCTGCCTTTGTTTTTTGCCATGAGCCAACAGGCAGCAAAGTAGAATGGGGATTCCTAAAGGAGGCTTTTAAAATATAATTGGAAATAAAATAAGAAATGTAAAGTCTGTCTTTGAACCGCCGTTGAAATGTTTTTGTCGTTAGGATGCTAGACTTGAATTAGCTTGAGTTTGGATCCCAGCTTTACCCCAGGCTCCCTGTGTCTCCCTCTGCAAATCACTTTAACTGCACGTCAGATCCCTGTAAGGTGCAGGTAACCCCTTCTATTTCAATAGGCAAGGTGACAAAGGAAATTTTGGGGTAAGATCTCATTGTACAGGACTTAATACAATGTGGATTTGCTTTCTGGTGGCACAGCAAGGTGCTACTGGAGCACAAATGTAACCCTCCTGAAACATAAGGAGCCAGATATGCTGGTTGTATGAGATTGAATTAAACTCTTTCATAGGAGATGCTCCTTTTTGAAAATATTTACTGCATGCTGAGATGTAAAGCTGGGAGAAAAGAAATGTACCTGCGCAATGCAACCTGCATGGGAAATAGAGAAGTCGTCTCTTTACAGTTCCACATAGCTTTAAGAATGAGTGGGATCTCTAAGGTCTGATAAAAGTCTTGTGAAATACAGAATAAGAGCATACAGTATTTCAGCCACTGGTGGTCTGCAGCTCATCCAGTAAAAAAACAAACAAAAACAACAACAAAAATGATAAAAAAAAAAAAAAAAAAAAAAACTCCATTGATCCACTTTGACTAGGTCTGTAACAGTGCAAGTTTGCCTGTGGAAGAGCATGGCTCGCTTCTTACAGCGCGTACTTGAGAATAAGTAAATCCAAAATGCCATTGCAGAATTAGCAGAAATTTATCTCTTCTGTGAGATAAGATGGAATCATGCAAAATACAAGAAAACTTGAACACGGACAGAGGAGGATGGTGACTGGTTATCTTCTATGTTGAGCACAGGTCATTCAGGAATGGAGTCACGCCAGGAAAATGCTGCCTCGTGGGGATTCTTTAACCAATTTCAGGCTCTGTGTAGTGGAAAACCTCAGGAGGGGAACCCAAGACTGCACTGTCAGTCCAATCATCAGGTGAGAAGAATAGCGTCCAGACACAGCTCGATGCTCGATGTGCTGCAGAACTTCTGAACTTGGAACAGGAGCTTGATCTTTCTCCGAATTCATTTCACACCTTAAAAAAGCTGAATTGTCTTCATTTAACAAATCTTTGGCTATAACCTTTGCTACTAAAATGAAGCTATCCCTAAGGGAAATACTTCTGAGTTTCAGGATACAGTTTCAACCTTTTTTTTGCTGAGAAGAATCGAATAGGAAGCACCTGAAGGTGTCAGGATAAAGCACACGGAGGAGCCATCCACAATAACACTCTCACCATTTTTCCCTGCCTGCTTCTGAGAGAGGTTACTGGGACACTTCAGCACTGCGATTATGGGGTCAAAGCTTGGGTGTGCATTCAATGCCTGGAATTATTATTGCTATTTATGATATCCTACTGAAAATGCAGTGATGCTCAGGTGGCCACAGTGGGAATTCTTTGCACTACGAAGGAGGTCAGGCAGGAAGACCAAAATGATACCTTCTGGCTCAGCGTGTTTGGGTTCTGTGTAATCACTGGGCTTAGACTGTTTCTCCTAAAGTCTGTTAGGATAATTAAAGCAGTAGTGGTATGCTGCGCACAACATTGTCTAGGAGGTTAAATCAATAATCTCTAAAGCGAGCACTTTGTCTCCCTTGCAGATAACATTTGTTTTACTGCCTGATTTGAAAACGTTCTCATTTTGGATGTCTCGATTCAATTGCATTCATAGGAAAAACTTCCCTTGCTCACCGTGTGGATCCTCGGACTCTGTAAGTAAAGCTCAGAATCTAATGGTCTCTCTCATATATGAAAGAATGCATTAACTACAGGTCAGCAAAATCTGTTTATTGTGTTGTTTTAGCATGGAGAGCTATTATTATTATGTTGCTTTTAAGGTAGCCTGCTTAAAGGTAATTTAGCCTGTCCAAAGTGATGCAGAATGCCAACACATAACTTCTGCTTGTTTACGTTAATGATACAGTACGGAGTCACAGCTCAGTGTTAACCTCAGTTTACCCTTGGGATAGCTGACTAGTAGGGAATGAAGAGTTTTTGTAAATGTTCTTTCTCTTTTTCACTTGTCAAGGATTGTCATGTGGTTTTCCTGGACTTGTCATCCATTCAAAATTAATTCAAAATAATCTTTTTTTTTCAATTCCCCTTTAGGATTGAAATTCCACAGTGTTCTATAACGAGGGTAGAAACCATGAGCCCGAATCTATTTTTACTCCTTGACATAATCCTACGTCTTTTCCCACGATGATATTTGTAATCAGTGTGGGAATTTATACCAGGGTGGAGCCCTGAATTGTGTAAAAAGCCTTTCTCTCTTTTAGGATGGAAAGGCAAAGAATGCACCAGGGGATGGCTTTGTTTGCCAGTGTCCCCAGGAGGGGAACTCCAGCACTAACATTTTACAAACAGGAATTGGACTGGCACAACCTCTGAATGTTATGCTCTTCTCAGGTGTCTCTGTGGGCATAAAAAGTCCAAGATTTCTCGTCCTTTGGGGAAGTGGAAGCCTCAATGCCTTCAGAAAGGTGACCTCACACGGCATTTCTCCCCTGTCAGTCTTGAGCATCTGTGGCAGAATCACCAAGTGAATCCAAATCATCAAACTTCCTCACAATTAAAAGGTAATTGGTGGCATCCCGGCCTTTCAGGCACCAGACTCTTAAACACCTCATAAAACATTCAGAAGACTTGCAGAACCCAAAGAGGAAAATGAGGAGGGAGGTATTTTTTCCACCTGATGGACATGGTATGTAATTACCTTAGGCATATCCTGATTCTCTCCCTCTATTGCTCATCGCTGCTATGTCTAAGAATTACTTGATATTCAAAGAGTGCCCTAACCAAGTCAGGTTTTCATAACATGATTACATTATGAAACATTTTGCTCCTGTATATTACAGTGTGCACACATACACTTTCATCATGTATTGGACTGCAGTTTGTTCTCTGATACCATGCACCACAGGATGTCTACAAATTGAATTATTTCAGGATAGTTATGCTAAGTAGCTCCATGCAGGGAAACCTGTATTCTAGCACAAAAGCACCTTGTTCTCCTTTATCGTAATCCACGTTTAAAATGGGTTATGATGCAGAACAGGCCACTCCTATTTTGGAATAATTTTATATAGGAAGAGCTTTTGTGCTTTTGGCTCACACCCTGCATTAGCCAACAGAGCTTTGAAGTGTAGACAAGCCTCTAATGTGTCTCGAGTATTTCCATCCTGCTCCCTGGCTCCTGCCTGTTCTTTGGCTCTTCCTTTGGGAAGGTCCAGAGCAAAACCAAACCTGCAGAGCCCGTCATTTAGGTCTTTGTTTTTATAAGCTTCATACCAAGGGACGTTTCCAATCTGATTCCCAATTTACGTGCATCCTTAAGTATTTGAAAGGAGTATTTAGATGCAAGCTTCTGACTCTGAGCCATCCCCACAAATTACATTAGTACATAAAATGTTTCCTTTCACACTTGGCTGAAAGAGAGGTCCCTCTGGAAGCCTGCGGTTCCTTTTGGGACCATTTGGTTATTTCTCTATTACCATTTCTTCTAAAACCACCCATCTTCCATTTTGTCAAATGCCATTTACACGTCTGCTTCCATGGATTGCCATGGCTGCTTGCTTGTCTTCTCTTCATTTATTTAAGCCAGCTGCCTGTTTCGTTGGGTGTCCTGTCTCTAGTTTTATGTAGCTATTCCCTGTTTGTATTCTTCCAATTGTTTTCCATGCCTGTCTCTTACTGCTCTTGTCCTCTGACCCATTTGATTTGATTCCTCCTGCAGGAGTCTGCTCCCATCTGCGATCATCCTGGCTGCTTTTCTCCATGGCTTTACCAGTCAGGCTGGCCAGATCTGCGAGTGGCATTTGAGAGAGAGGAGTACCGTGTAAGCACAGGTATGTGTTGCAGTATCCATTTCCTGGCTTAGTAAACCTTCTCTAACAGTTCCCCTCATTTTATTTGTATTTCTGACCTCCTGTGAGTGCATGACGTGGCTGCTTTTGGAGTCCTACCCATCATAACACAACAAACGTAGAAGCTAATTTAGAGAGCTTGATCACATATAGATTAGGAGGGTTAGTTTATCTTCTAATTTATCACTCACTTTCTTGATACTGAGGTCCTTCTATGGACAGGTTTAGATTTGACTATCCCGAGTAGTTCTGAAGTATCTGCAAACTCATCATTTCACTGCTCATCTCCAGCCCTACAGAGGCGCCGGCCTGCTCAGCTGCCGTGATTTGTGAGGTCAGGGCATGAACACCAGCTCCTGTCATCCCCTGAACTTTTTATGTGTTGACTGCACAGCTCAGTCAAACAGCAGCCATGGAACTGAAGGAATAGTTAAACAGATTTAAGAAACAATATCAAGTACAACCGCAGAGGCAAAAGGATCCTTGGTCACAAAAACGATGGAGGTGTTTTCTTCAAATAAAAAGAGGTTTATTAAGATAATGAGAATGACATTGTGGTGTGGGTGTTGTACATCTATTGCAGCATTAAGAGAAACAACAGCAAGTACAAAATCCTGCAGAACTTCTATAGTCATTATTATCACAGCCTATCTTGTCCATGCTACAGTTTTGTGTATCCAAAACTTCATTCCCATTTCTAATGGCAGAAAAACCAGAGACTTTCATCTTTCAAAAACAAAACAAAAATGAAACAAAATAAAACAACAAAAAAAAAAAAGATTCAATTCGATATAAATAACTCGCACTGGACATCTTAAAACTTTCAGATTTAATTACACATAAATAAATATATACAGATTTAGAACAGTTCAGTTTGGCCTGGTTCAAGTTCTGCTCCTTGTGCTTTATTAATTATAATTATTATTATTATTAATTTTAGAAACTTCTGTGCTGTTATCTGTAGGTTGTGGAGTTGTAATAAGTCCCGGGTATGACTTAACCTGCTTTATCCCCTGCAGTAGCAGTCGGAAGCTCTCCGTGGTCGGTTCCTGCCCTGGGAAGGACCAGGGTGAGGTTTGTTCCTCCCCTCGTGGCACAGCCCTGGGAAACCCACGTGGAGTCTGTCTGAAAACTGTAAACGAAGTCTGAAACTGCTTCAAATCCAAAGCAGTTCTGCTGGCAATTTTCTCCTGGCCTGGCTTTAGGGCTGGTGGGGAAATAGGAAGGTTTCCTCCGTGTCTGCCTGTTGAAACCAGCTGATAAATCCAGGTACAGCCAGCGACCCAACTCCCTGCCCTCTTCTGCTCGTTCCTCTGCTTCTTGCACTGAGGAGGCCTCTTCTCGCTCTTCTCAGAACAAATTCCTGGAGCATGTCAGGATTTCGTTATGGGCTTTCAAAAAAAATAAAATAAAAAATGAAAAATTGCACATGACTTGGCTTCCTGCATCCACGATTTAAAAGAAAAAAAAAAAAAAGGCAAAAACCGAAAGCCATCAACCTGGCTTATTTTCTCATTCTCACTACGTCCATTAGGGTTGGTTTCTTCGTCTTAAATTCTTTAACTCTTTTCTCTCTTCTCTTTGTTCGCTTTATGAGTTTCATCCCGAATGTAGCAGTTCAGAAAAACGCTGCCCTGGGTCTTCGTCCCCCCGAGCAGCGTTTAACCTTCCTTTTGCTCCCGGGGAACGCTCCCGTTGGGCAGAGGGAGGGAGTCAGCGCGTTATTTCCGATGCTTCACTTCCTTTTCTGACGCTTTGGAGTCTCCAGCCGTGTGCCCGTTCCCCGTGCTGTTCATGAACATTTTATCCAGCCCCTTGAGGGACTCCACCAGGTAGTTCTGGAAGGCTGTGAGCGCCGCACAGATGGCCGGACCCCCAAAACCGTGGGTTATCAAGCTGAAATGAGTCAAACAGCTCTGGACACCCGGCTCTAGGATGAGGGAGGGGCGGCTGTTCCCCAGCGGTGAGCGGTCCTGGGCTATCAAGTCTGCAAACTCTTTGCAAATTTGCCTGCAAGAGAAAGGTTTGCGTTACTATAAATGCTGCTGGGAAGCTGCGGGGGTGTTTGGGGCTTCTTTTCCTGCTCCTTGCACAAGCTCCAGCCTGCACAAAGCCCCTGCGTGCAGCCCAAAGGGCACGTCCAGCAGTGCCACGAGGTTCCCTGGGGTTAGGTTAACCTCTCCCGTGTAGGAACAAGCCCTTCAATCCACGCTAATTATTCATCTTTCTGCACGTTCTCCAGGTGTGGCTGCGTGCAGTTTATGAGGCCAGAAAAGGAAGCTTTCGGGGCAGAAGAGGAAGTTTTTGGGGCGAACGCCGCCCTTCCCTTGCAGGCTGCGTGTACCTGCCGCACTGTGGCCGGGTGAGTACTCACTTGGTAGCCAGCAGCATGTTTTTCCTGGTGTGGAGCTCGGTGGGGTCGGAGTGCTGTCGGCACAGGTACTCGGCTGCTGCTTTGGCTGGGAACTCCGTTTCGCACACGTAGCCGAAATCCCGGGCCAGGTGGACGGCTTCACCTACAAGCAGGACAGATTGACAAGCTGCATCAACACCCGTGTGAAAGGGAACATTTTTATAGCAGCTTCAGGCATTTCACTGACATGGCTCACGGGACTGCAGTGCTCTCCTTTCTCAGTCACCATCTAAGAGCCCTCTCCACCTTTGGCTCTCGAGCTGGTGCAGAGCCACCACTAAAAGTTTCCTGCACCCATCTGTAAAACAGGGAGTCCACACGTGCCTGACTGAACCATCACCACCTCTAAACAGAAGCCAGTCCCTTCCTTTGATAACTTAAAAGGCATCGAGCAGGTGGTGGCTGGCGTTGGGTCAGGATGTGTGGCTCATTGAGCTGCTCTCCTCCAAAAGAAAGAACAGCAGAGGTGGTTCTGACTTGGCCCCTTCCCTTGCTGTATCTGTCTCTCCCCACTTCTTCCAAAATTTCCTGCAAATCATAGACTAGTCCTAGAATTTTAAACAAGTCAGAGGGTGCAAAGTAACCTCAGCCCTGTCACTGCCAGAAAAAAACAAGGGTGTGAGGATGGAAGGAGCCAAAGGAAGGTGTTTACATCCTCCCACAGCGAGCAAGGCCCTGGGGCTGGGCGCGCAGGCAGCATATCCATCACCCCCTGGAAATGCCCACCCATTGATGAAATTGATCCATCTCCAGGCGTCCCCCTGGAAGTAATCAGAGCTGATGGCAATTGATCATGCCCAGCACCCGAAATCCTGGTCGGGCAGGCAGAGCTAATTTGACTTGCCCCCTGCTGCTCGCATGTATTAGGCCATCCATCCTGATAGCATTAACCTAGATCCCACCACAGCTTTCCCAGCTCCCAGAGCTGGCTCTGTGAAGCCGTGTCACGGGGAAAGTGTCTGCGCTTTCTATATGCAGCTGATGCTTTCCACTTCCTCTCTTCTTCCAAAGAAGCAACGGATAAGGTAAACCTAGAGAATTGGAGCTGCAGTTGTTTGTGTGTTAGAAAACGATCAAAACACACTGGCTGCTGAAAAACAGCTATTGTGGCAATAAAAAAGGACTGGATGTCCTCGTGGTGAGAGCTGAGGCTGGAGCCTGGATTTATTTCCTCCTATGAGTGTGTGGGAATAGCTCAATGTTTTAAAGGCAATTCAGGTGCTGGCTTAGAGAGGCTTCAGCAGAGGGGACAAGTGGGCTTGGAGACAGGAGCCTGCATCCTGCCTGAACACATGCCTCTTCCTGAGAATGTGGGCGTGCTTCTGAAGTTGAGATACAGCCTTACTGCCTGTCCAGACCCATGCTGGAGCTACCTGATGAGGCAAATGCTCAAGAGAAGGCAAGAGTTCCCGAAGGAAGCTGTGCTACCTGCGTGCTGCCCTTGTAGTGCTCCCTGGAATCACAAGCCCCCACTCTCCCCCATCTATACGAACAGTTTTGGGTCTTCTGTGTAACAAAAAGTATATTATTAGCACTCAAAAAAATCCACCTAGTATTTTTTAAAAACGAACAGACATTTGGGAAAACAGAGGGGAGAAAGTATTAAAGCAAGGCAGCAAACATCTAAGAAAGTAAGTGCCTGGTGCACGGAGGGACAAGCCAGTTTCTGTGTGCTGGGTAATGACAAAGCACTGACACCTTCCTCTGCATGAAACAGCTCCCAGTGCCATAACACTTACGTGCAGGAGGAAATTATATCCATCAAGCACACATGGCGCCACGCTTTTATTTACTATGAGCTGGTAAGCAGCAACCAAAACATCGGCAGCCACCTGAAATCAAAATGTACATTTCTTCCTTCCTTTCTTTCTTTCGCTCTTTTCTTTCTCCTCTTTTAATGGAAATCAGCCTTTCATTCAGCACAAACCAACTGCCCCCCAGTAACAACCTCCGCCTAATGAAGCGGGTCATTTAATTTGCTGCCAACAATGGAAATGATTTTCTATTCAGAAACTGCAGGCAGCTGCCTCCAACACGCTGGGCTCGAGCACAATGGATTCCGGAGCTGGAAGGGAGTCGTAGCTGTCACTGCATTTGTTTGTGTCCCATGCCCTTTTCTCCAAAGACCACATCGTCATTTCCATAGTGCGAAAAGTAGGAGGGGAGCAATCGACCAGGCGGCTCCGAGCACCTCAAGCTGCACAGCACCTTTGCTATAGCTGCTCTCAACCCTTAGCACCACGGGCTGAGCCACCGCAAACTTTATCTCCACCTGCAAGCTCCTCCGTGTCTCGTTTGTCCCCTGCTGTGCCGGCAGAGGAGAACCTGGCTCCCATTTGGGGCATCTTTTAGGGGACACAAGGCATGGACCTGTGCTGTGCAGCCCCAACAGAACAGGTCGGTGCTGCCCAGGGACAGCCCAGCCCTTGGGCACAATCACAGCGGGCGATTTTGTGGCTCGAGAGGGCATGGGGTGCTACAGGACAACTGCCAGGCTGAAACCCCGACAGCTTTATTCAGACCTCCTTGAGTTTGGTTCCTCTGATCTTGATTAAGTTTTACCAAAACTGGTTCCCAGAAGTGGCTGGGAAATTTAGGCAGGGCCAAAAGGGAGCTTGCAGCTCTGATGTTCCACCCAGTTCAGGTCCCGAACGCCTTTTCCAGCATGAGCTATGACTGGTCCGACAGAAACGTCTCAGTTTCAGAGGACAGACGTGTTTGAATCAGCAGGGAGACTTCCACGGGGATATTTCCAGTCTCGGTCGCAGTTAGTGGTGACCACTGCATACTTTGTTTTAAGTGTTCTCGGTTGTGGAAAGCTGCAAATGAAGGGTGTTGAAGTTTCGGCACTCCCGTCTTACGAGGGAGCGAAGAGGCTCTTACCTTCCACCAGCGAGGTCAGCAGGGTGACGTTGGCAGCTTTGCGCCTTCCCGCGGGTAGGTTGAGTCCGATTTTCTCTAGCCTTTCCCTTAAACACCGACCCCCGTTTTTTGATTTTGCCCTGAAGAGAAAGGAGGAAAAACAACCGGGATGTAATTAAGGTTTAAAATGACCATTATTCCAGTTTAAGCTTGTAGGTTGGAAGGGAAAGCAACAAAATCCTGTTCTCGGTAAGCCATACACCCCCAATTTCTCTTCTCCACTAACACGGGATGTAAACCCCGGTGCAGGACACCCAGCTGGCTTCGGAGGCATCCCCTGCACGCAGCAGGGAGCTCCCGGGAGCGCCGTGCCCCTTACCTGCGCAGGACCCCGCCGAGGAGGGAGGCGTTGAGACACTCGGGGGGCGAGAGCCGTCTCTGCACCTCCCCGACCGTCACCTTGTACTTGGAGGTGGAGCTGAGCAGGGAGAGGCGGCCAGGCACCGAGCAGAAGACCTCGTTGGGATTCGTCACCCCTCCGATCAGGCCGTCTTTGTTCATGGACAGGGTGGGGATGGTGGTGCCGTTCGCCTTCGAGGGGATGGGCACTGGGAGACAAGGAGGGGAGAGAAGGGGAGACGGGGGCTGAGATGCCGGAGCTCGGGAAGCAGCTCGGTGGCTGCCGGCAGCTTTCTAGCAGCCAGCACGAGCGCTGCCAGCCGGAGGTGTGAGCGTGGCCGCCGGCGATAGCTCGGGTTCGTGTTCTCTTCAATGAAGGAAAAGAGAGAGGTGGGGTTGATGAAACCGAACTAAAAAAAAAAGAAAAAGAATGGAAGAAGCCCAGGCTCTGCTCTCGCCTGCTTTCCCACACCTCCCAGCTCTAGTGGAATTAATCCCGGGGTTTCGGGTTGGTCTCCTGGGAGGCTGAGGTCTGCCCGCGGCATCGGGCTGCGCCTGCTGCCCTGCGTCCCCTGGTGTGGGTGGCAGCGAAGCGCTGGCCCTTCGCAGGGTGCACGTTCCTCTCTCCTGGCCTGGGAAGCTGCTGCATCCCTCCAGCCTCCATCCCCAGGGCTCAGCTCCCACCTTCCTGCCCTGCAGAAAGCCCCAGGGAGGTGCCGGGAGGGCTGAGCACCGTGCCCGCAAACACCTGCCCGTAGGAACAGGGGAAAGGCTGCAGCTTTGGGGTTAGCCCCACAACAAGCCGCAGCCCTAAAATCACATCAGGATGGGCCGAAAGGAAGCTTGGGCCGATCGAACACGATTAATCCAGCACAAACTTCCTTTTGCTCAATGGACAGGAGTCGGTTAGCAAAGAAATGAGGCAGGCAGTGGTGAGCACAGCACCACGCCGGGCTCTGGCATGGCACCGGGCTGACACGGGCACGGTTTTCCCATACGTCACCCCACTGAGAAACGTTCTGAGACGCAGTAAAGCTTTATGGGTTCAAACTACGGCTGTCGCCCGTGCCAAATCTCTTCTGGCTTTCATGTTCTGAAATTAATCACCAATTTACCTCTGGAAAAAAAAAAAAAAAGTTTCAAAGAATCCAAAGGGGACTGCAAACGCCGTCGCTCCAGCTCATTTCAGCCCTGGCATTCCTTGTGGTGCCTTGGTAATGGAACAGCTCGCGTTCGAGTAACGCAGCAACGAATGCCAGGGTGAGATGTGGGTTTAATAAAGGAAATACGCATGCCCAAAATGAAACAGAAAACCCCCGAATTAATTGGGAAGGCTACGTAGACTGGACCTGTTAGTGGACTCTTACAATCAGCATATTGTAAATAGAGCTCAACGACTTGTTAGCGTGGCAATAAAAAGCAGCACATGGTACATAAAAATGGCTAATGTTTTAGGGCTGAGAGATGGATGGAAATGAGCTAAGGTACATTAAGTTCCCTCTAGCATGAAACGTGGGCAAAGTCAGGGGATTGAAGGGCAAGGTGCTGGAGTCGGTAACTGCGGGGCTGGCATGTGCCACGGCTGGGGCTGGCTGAGGGATGTCAAGGGAGGAACAAACACAGGAACATCACCGCTGACGGAGGAAACCAGAGACATTTCCAGGAAGCAGCGACTTCAAAGTTTTCTCTCCCAGGCCCAGAACAGGTTATATTTGTCTCTAAATTACCCTTGAAATAAAAAGTCAGAGCATGTTTTACAAACATCCATGCAGTACTGCGAAGGCGTGTGTCACAGCAGGGCCAGGCACCCCGGCACGTGTGGCTCCTGCTGCAGCGGGGCCACCCCGTAACCAGACCCGTGGGGCCCCCTGGGTTGCTTGCTGCACCACGTATTTATCAGTGCCTGCAGTGCTCTGCATCCTTTACACACTCACACATTTGTGCATGCCTGGAGTCATGCAGTGGTGGTACCCGAGCCTGCATGCATGGCCGGGGACCTGCGGGCACACACCGGGGACCGAGCAGTCATGCAGGAGAGGGGCTCATGCTGCACCACACGTTCCCATGAAATGTGGCAGCTGGGGAAGGAGGCAAACCTCGCTGGCACCAGCAGCAAACACCCAAACCTATGGAAAACTGGCCTGGAGATCAGCCGGGTGGCACAGCGGGCACGTGCTGCGAGGGGGTGGCCACGGGGACGGGACACCAGGCAGCACGGATGGGTGCTGGTGCACAGCAGGGTGAGGCAGGGGGACACGACACTTTGGAAACAAACTGGCTTTTTGGGGGATGACCCTACGGTCAGACACAAATCCCCCTGGAGAGCTGTAACCCAGAGCCCCCCGTGGTGCTGGTGATGCCCTGAGCAGCCGGACCACCCTTGCTGTGTGCACCACGGAGCCACAGGGGCACCAGAACCGAGGCGCCCACACTGGACCGTGCGTATCGGCATCGCTCTTCTGCCTCGAGGCCAAGCTGAGAGCACGGCCCCGTCGCTTTTGGCACGAGCATGCATGGATGGGACAAGGGCAGAGCTGGCAGCACGGCACACCAAATGGCAAGGGGGAACGGGGCGGGTGGCAGCCCAGCATCACGCAGGCGTTAGCGGCAGTGCTGGAAACCGAGCCCGGCCTCTTGAGTCCTGTAACAGTGCTTCAGCCATCAGACAGTGTTGCCTCAATACAACAAGAATAAACATAGCCACGTTCGCCATTAATTATTAATTATTGTTATTTGGCCTCACCTGCTGTTTGCCTGGTCTGATCTGCAGCTTGTTTGCCCATAAACATGCTGCAGGAGGGAGACAAGCTACCATTAAAGCCTGACAGCTTTGTTTCCTTGGCTTTGGGGGAACCAAAATTGTCTCTTGTCATCTGAGTAAACCAAAAGTCCCCCTCGATCTTCAGTTGCTGCTTGCCCGTTCCCGCAAGCAGCAGGTGATCGGAGCACCTGAGCCAGCCTGCAGACAAGAAGGAAGCATGAGACCGCTGCAGGCGCAGCACCCGGCGCAGCGCCCGAGCGCGCCGGCCCCGGCGTCCTGCGGCTGCGGGCAGGAGCTGGGGACGCATCCAGCCCACGGGGCATGCGGGAGGCTGAGCCCTTCGGGCAGCACCCCAGGGTGCCTGGCACGGCATCACCCCTAAGCTACGGTGCAGAAAAAGACACGGCTGGGGCAGGGAGGGGGTGCTCACCGCTGTTTGTGGGCACCGCGCAGATGGGGTGTGAGGGGAAGCGCTCGGTGCCGCCGTCTCCTGAGCGGGGTCGCGGGGCAAGGCACGGAGCTGAGCCCCCCAGGGGGGTTTGCAGGCAGCACAGCTGGGAGCAGAAATGTCACATTGGTGTCACCGCACTGGACGCCCCCTCTAAGGTCTCCTGGGGCTGGGCCATGGAGATACCTGCCCTTGGCTCCAGGGATGTCACTCTTCCCTCTTGTCCCCATCACCGCATGTGACCAGTCCCCACGGTGGGCAGGTACCAGCCGCTGGCTCAGGCAGGCTGGGAGCACACCCACAGCCACAGAGGATGGAGTTTGGGACAGAAACGTGCCCCACAGGCTGCTCGATCCTACGGGGATGGGCCCACACATCACACACAGACCAGCAAGGGAGGACTTGGGTGCTTGTGCCCCATCCACGGGGGTACGCACATGCTTGGCCCCCTCCAAGGGGCAGCTTGGGCACAGCTGAGCCCACCCCGTCCCACCCAGGGCTTGGTTTTCAACAAGAAATGTTCAAATGTGTTGGGTTTTTGATAAAATGAGCTGCTGACTTGCCAGTGGGGTTGTTGTAGCCCAGGGAGCTGGGGATGCTGGGGAAGAAACCGAGAGCCAGGGGTGAGTTACGAGAGAGCCACAGGGACGTGTCTGCATGGGAGAAAGGGGGAAAAAATCCTTCTGCTCCCCAAAACCCCTGGGTCATTGAGGCTGGGCTGCTGCCCAGTGTCAGAGCTCAGCTGCTGGGGTCCCCCGACAAAGCCCCAGCACCGCGCTTCACCCCAGTGAGCACCCCGGACTGGGGATGCTGCTGCCGGGCTGGGGAGTGACAGGGCTGCAAGGAAACACTGCTGGGCTGTGCAGGAGCATCCCAGGGATCCAACCAGGAGGGAAAAACCGAGTTTGAAACACGGCTGTGCTGACAGGGCCCTTTCCCCAAGACCTCAAAGAGTTTCCCGCGGCTAATCCCCAGCCCGGCGCTGATACCAAACCTGCTGCTTGAGTCATTGCCTCGCTCCCGGTGCCTGGGTGAGCTGGCTAATTACTGCAGCCGGGGAAAACTGAGGCACAGAACAAGTTAAATCATTTACCAAAGAGCAGGCATACGAGCACGATCTGAATGCACGCATTTCTGGTCTGTGGGAATGCTTTTATAAGCAATCCGGGATTTATGGCGCTTCCTAAAAGTTGGGCAATAGCTCCAGAAAGCTGATGAGGTGTGTCCCGGTATGTCCCCTGCTTCCATAGCACCCGAATCTCTTAAATGCCCTGGGATAAAGCTGCATTTGCCACTGCATCCTCTTGTCTCATGGTGCCCTCGCATTTTGAAGTCTGCTGTTGAGGACGTCCCAGTGCCAATAAAAGGTGTAGGAGTTCTTGCCGAACGTGGGAAGGAAAACGATCCGAATTTCTTCTGTGGATGGCCACAAGAAGCGTTCCCATGAGGCTCCCCACCTCGCTGCCTCCTTTCAGGTTGCAGGGGAGGTGCCACTTGCTCTGCATTGCGTGCACATCGCAGAGTGGCACCGGCCCTGCCGCAGCTCCGTGGGTAGGCACGGCTTTGTCTTCCCTTCAAGCCCAAACAGCTTCTGATCTCCTGTCAGAGAGGCTTTTTCTTTTGTGCTGACTCGTTTCTGGTTTGTCTTTTAAGCACCCTTTGGGCGTAGCAGGCAGCGGCGATGAAACTCGCACAGCCCAATTTGCTGTGGCATGAAAACTCCTGAATCAGAGAGAGTGATTTCAGGATAAATCCTGGTTTCCAAGCACAGGGAAGGCTTCGTCCCTTCTCTTGCTGGGTGCTCACTGCCCTGCAGTTGTCCTCCTGCCTCCTCCAAAGCTGAGGAATCTCTGTGGCACCCACGGGTCACCTCCACAGCTGGGGCTCCACCGTCTCCATGAGCAAAAAGGAGATATCAGCATCTACCTGGGACAGATGCTGGGATACACAATTAACACCGGCCAAGTGACCTCTGGGTGAAGGATTTCTCCCGACAAGAAGCCCCGGGGTGGGAAATGCAGCCAGCAGTATCTGTTTCGGTGCCTGAGCACAGGACGTGGTGATGCTTCTTGGAGTAGGGAGGCAGCACTATGGGCACGAGGCCCCAGCAGCTCCAGGGATGTAACTGGGGGCTGAGGTGTCCTGGGAGGAAGTTTCTGACAGTTCTGGTCTAGGTTTGCAGAGGTGGGTCCTGTGGCTTTATCATTCCAGGTACAAAGAGGAAGGAGCACAAGCAGCACGCCCTTCAGGGGCTTTTACCCAAGGAGCCCGAATTCCCTGCCTTTCCCTGGGGAGTTTGTGCCCAGCCAGACCCACAGCCTCATGCTCTGCTGCCTGCTCACCCCTCTCCTTCCCATCCACATTAACAAACTGAAACTACATCCCAACTCCTGAAAACGGCCACTTTTACCTGCAGACAACCCCTTCCCACCCCATGTAGGGTCTGTGCCCGTGGGGACATCACCGGCCCCGCGGCTGCTCCGTGCCCCTACACCGATGCTGACTGCACACCGCCAGCTTTTTTTGTTTTAAGGGAAAAGAGATTTTACCCACAAAAAGAGAAAAAAAAAATGAAATACTGACTCATTCCCATTTGAGAAATGTGCTGTCTGCTTGCGAAATAGTTTGTAAGCAGGAGAATTTGTGGCGCTTGGAAATCAGGTTGCTTTTCGCGCTATTATTTGCCCGGTTCCATTTCCAGCCAAAGCTCGGGGTGCTGCGAGGGGAAAAACAAGTCCAGAGGGAACATGCAAATCGCTGCCGTCTCACAAAGCTGTTGTCTTCCCTCCCTGGGTACATTACAGGTAAATCCTCCTCCCGAATCCCTGGATGTTGGCTCTTTTGTTGCGACACCTCTTTTAAGGGCGGGAGCGTGCTGGAGCTTAGATCTCATTTTAAAGCGCTATCGGGTAACCTCTCGGGAGCCCACCTTGTAACTCAATTTCACATCTCCAGCCGCCCCAAAAGCATCTCAGCACCGCAGGGCAGCTCCGTGCCAGGGACGCCAGCACCCCATGAACCAATTTTGGCTTCTCCTCATTGCAGTTTCTGGCGTTTTGCCTCCCTGCCTCTCGCCGGTAGCAGGCGAGCCACGGGCATCGGTGCCCGGGGATGGCACCGAGAGCCCAGCCCAAATTTCGGTTCCCTTTGGCTCTGCCCGGCTCCAGGCGGTGTGGGGAAGCCTTGGCTGGCTGGGAAGCTGTGCTGGTGGGCAGCCCCTGATGAAAGGTGCTTCAAAAAAAGGCAGAGGGTTAGCGCCGTCTTTCAGGAAGAGCGCTCGGCGAACTCATCTAGCCTTACTTTGAATGTCTCTGATGTAAATTATCCGACCGAGATACATACAGAAAGAAGTGGCTGCGTGTGGGTGGGAGCCAGAGGCGACTGCTCCTGCCGTGGCTTTAAAAGCCCTGGTTCGGCGAGGAGGTGCTGCAGAGTTCAGCTTCTTCAATTTCCTGGTGCTTCAGCGCAGAGGTATTTATTGATGGTCCGGGGAAGGAGGTCAGTGCCATCAGCTATATTTCAAGCCCGCAGTCTGTAATTATCCTTTCTTCCCAGAGGGGATTATACAGGTATTTTCTTTATCTTGAATGCACAACCCGAATCGAGTCCCCGTGTCAAAGGGAGCCTCTCTAGGAAACGCTGTAATCGGCTCAAAGGCCTTTTCAAATGGAAGGATGGAAAGAATCTTGGTTTTTATCTCGGGGCTTTGCAGATCGCTCGGCCCCGATAGGGAAATGGGGCTGGGACCCTCGAGAGGTGAGGGAGCAGAGGTGCAAGTCAGCAGCCCCAAACCATTCCCACGAGAAAGGTAATCAGGAGAGGTCCCATGCCTATGCAAAGCTGCCCCACTTAACATTTTGTTTCCAATGCAAATCAATACATTAAGTTACGAACTAAATTTTAAGGTGCCGTCTGATATAAACTGCAATTTTTCTCTCTGTTACAGCCCCTGAAGTGCCTGCTGTCTCTCACCGGGCACTTGTTCTGTTTCTGGGGAGTTTCAGGCCGGATTGAGGAGGTTCAGCCTCCCTGGGGCTGGTTCAGCATCCCCATTAAAGACGGTACCAGGTTACACATCTTTAAAGAAACAGCCAATCCACAGAATAACCAAAATTATTCACACACACCTTTGCAAAAGCACCTTCAGGACTGGGGAGGGGATTAGTAACCGATCTGCAATTAATTATTCCAGCTCTTGCATTTCCCTGCTTTGCCATTCAGGCACAACTCAAGCTCAGATGCACTTGTTCAGAATCTTTCATGAATTTGGGAAGAGATCACAGTTTGTTGGGAGTGCCACAAGTTTCCCTGCTGGGCTTGGATTTGGGGACTGCGTCGTGCTGTCGGGGAAGCCCCAGTAAGCACCTGAGGAAGCAGCCTGGGTAAAAACCTCAGGAAGCAGCATTAAAGATTAAAAATCCTCCTAACTCATCCAATCCAAGTGCCCCAAGCTTCCCAGAAATGAATGAAAAAGGATTTGGATGCTGCTTCTGAATGCTGAAGCTCACTTGCAGGTATTTTCTGCCTGTGTTTTCTGCTGTTCACCGGCAGAAGCGATCTGGCAGTGCCATGCCCTGACCCCTCCTGCGCCTTTCCCTGCCACATTTCCAACGTGAAAAGTCAGTGCAGGGATTCAGATTATTTCACTTCCCCTCCCAATTCCGTATTTTTTTTTCTGAATTTCCAGCTAAGCTCTGCCATCTGAGCAAGAAAAATAACAACTACTTAAAATTCGGTTCAATTATTAACT